AGCGAGGTGTTGTTGGGGCCCTATGCTCCAGTGGGAGTCTACAGGGATTATTATTATTTATTAGAAGGTTTCTTTTATCTTTTTTTTTGTGTGTGTGATTTATATCCTATTATTTTGATATTTTATGAAAATTATCTATGATGTTCTCTGGCATGATGGTGTATAATGCATGTATATTAGTATCACTGGGTCTTTTATGTCTAATATGTTCCTGAATTCTAACTTGAATTGGTATTTTTTCTTTCTCAAATGTAGTGAAATCCCCATTCATAAGAAATTGTATACTTGTAAATAGTTTTTCCTCTTCGTTGGGTCTTTATGCGGTTTGGTGTGTACAAACTGTAATTATATTGTGTTGTTGCTTCTGAACAGTGTTCTGACTTTATGTTATTTACTAATCCTCTAAATGGTTTTAAGGAAACCTCTGACACTGAAGAATGTGGATGTATATCTGTAATTTTCTTCCTGTTTATTCCCATATTCCTCTGTGTCAGAAGTCTGAATTTTCTAGGTTTTGTGATAATTCGTAAATTTTCCCTGAATTCTTGAATCTTTTTCAAATCGTCAACTTTTTAAGGTTCATGGCCACCCTGCACTGATGATTTATTACAAATTTTTAATAAACTTTTTATCTTTATGAAAAATGTCAAAATATACTTTTATCATTCATAACTACCAACAAACAATAAATAATATTGTGCAAGAACGAAATTGTAAAGGATTGAAATTACTGTTTGCATAATTTTATTATACTATTAATATTTAAATGAAAAGAGAACATTTCAAAATTCTAAAAATAATCCAATCCTGTTTTCTTATTCCTAGCTTCTTTTTTTATCAATGTGTGCATATAGATGTATAAAATAATAAGTAAATAACATACCACTTGAGGAATTTCCAGTACAATCTTACATTGGAATAAAGTACATGAAAAATCTTCTTCCATTTCCACCTGAGATGAATTATTTCTCAAAGATCTTGAGGCTCCTATCGTGCTTGAATTTTTTAAAGAAAATGTTAATGGCAGCTCAGTATAATTTCCTTTATAAGGGAAAAACTATCTGAAATTATTTAAATTAAAAATAATATGTTAAACAACAAACCATTAAATTACAAAGTATATTTTTCATTCAATGTGTTTGATAGCAAGGAAAACACACTGTGAATATTACTCTGGTAAAATTAAAACTAACTTCAACCATTTACAGAGTTATCATTTATGAAGTTAAACTTTGTTTTTTATTTGAAAATTCATTAAGAAATTAATGTATGTATGTATCAGGGAAGAGAACTGGTCAGAATTAAAAACTCTGGAGGTTAACAGCAAGTACATTCAAGTCCACAATCAGTACTATAGTCTGGAGGAAGGGGTAAAGGAGAGTGGAAAATGGGTTATTTTTAAGGGACATTTAGTACAATTGAACTTAATATTTAAATTAATATTGTCGCTTCTATACTGTGTACATCCTATATTTGTGCATAATAATGGTAGTAAACACACAAACTTTCCACAGGACATTTAATTCTTTCAAGTAAGTTATTCTTCATATCTGTTGTTTTTCCAGATAAGCACTATTAACTTAAAACAAAACATAAATAAATCCCATGCAGCTTTTGTGTATTTTCATCATCTACTTTTAAAGTACTTTCAGCTCAAAATGAATGAGATAGCAACACACATGCTATATCTAATATAGTGCTGATTAAACAAATAGAGCTGAGCTCCTAATCTAGAATGATTATTTGCCACTGGTCAAGCATATCTTCAGACACAAATGTTTACTTCCAAGGCTTGTAAAAAAGGCTTTCTACAGCATATGTGATAGAATTTTGTTTTCAGCCTTAAACTCAACCCACCCACCCATAGGTTATGTGATTATCTACCACTGGTTTCAACACAAGCCCCAGTGAAATGATAATAATGCAGAACAACAGCATACAACTGCTTGATCAAAATATTAACATTTACAAGTATTATCTAAGAATTCACAGAAATGCCTTTAACCATCTCTAGGCCTTAGAAGTGTCACTGATATCCCCTTATATTCTTTCTTACAGTTATGATACTTAATTTATTTTTTCTCATTACAACAGTTATTAGTACCAGCTATAAATCATAAAAACATGGCAAAAACTTATTGGTAACCCTGGACCTTACCTTTAAAAATGGCATCACAATTACTTTTGTCAGGTTAGATATAATTTTTTTGTTTTTTGCTAACAATACCTTACCTTTGGTCAAGATAGTTCATATCTATCAAATATAGCTTCTTTTAATAAATTATATGCAAATTTATTTATGTACATTGTTTGAATACTGTAAAGTTAAAAACAATATTCAATAAATAACGATATGAGTTATCAGAATATTTTGCTATCACCTACCATACTCACTAAACTGTACATTTTACTAAGCTTACTTCATACCTGGTGTCTCCTAGTCAAAAAAAATTCCTGCTGCTTTCAAACAGATATAATTTAACATGCAAACACTTTCAAAAATGAAAATAGTGTCTAAAGAAACTATAAAAGAACTGTTAGCTTTGTGGTTTGTTTGTAAGTTTTCAAAACTTCCCATTGAATGTTTTTTGGTTAATACCATGGAAGACTACTTCTTCATGAATTTTACACTAAGCTTGTTATTTAATGGAGGAGGGGCAACATTCTTCATGTCGAGGACCCCAAGAATTGTTAATGTGCCTCTGGCTGAACCAATAAGTTGTAATTGATAGCTGAGCAAATAAAATAAGTCAAAGAGTGGGGTTGAACGTGACCCTGGAGTGGCTATACACAGATTGATGCAATTAGAATAACTGGACAGAGGAAGCATTTCTCATTTTACACTAAGGAAGAATTTCCCAATGTAATTAACATAGCAGTCATAGACAGTCAAAATGTTTTAGTCTTACACACTCATATTACTCAAACCATAAAACAATGGCCCTAAGAAACAAATAAACTAGTTTGAAAATCTGATTTTAAAGTTTCAACAAGAGCAGAAGATGAATTAGAATTTAGTGTTGAGAACCATGGAGAAAAACAGCATTTATGTCTATGGATGATGAAGAAATAGCAACATTCACATGGAAGTTAAAATACACAATAACAAATGTTGTTTGATAAGCAATAATTAAAAACTTATAATAAAGTTAATAATATTAATAATAATATAATAACAAACTTTTGGCACTAAAAGTAAATAAATTATGTAATAAAAATGCCAGTAACTTTTAAGTAATGTCAATAGGAAATGATTGATTTTGTCAGCTTAATGGAACATGTTAAAAGGAATAAAAGCATACCTATCCATTTGATAAAGAGTTACAATGTAAAAAAAAGTCAGTATCACACAAAAAGTGAACATGTAATCAGAAAAATCATTGTCTGAAGGTATATGTAATCATTGTACAAACAAATCAAAGGTATTCATCAATCCAAAAAAACAAACCTTTTAAACACTTTTTTTCTTAAAACATCCAAGGATTGTTTGGTACAATGCAATATCCCCTCTGCAACACGATTCCCAAAATAATTCACAAGATTATGACATGCTTCAAAAAACACAACTTCTGGGAACTCAAACTTCACTGAAGGCATACCTTTTATTCTGGACTTTTCAATGTGTTTTTCTACTTGCAAGTTCTCTATAAATTAGTAACAAAATGCATGATTATGAAATATATTTAGGATATTATTTCAAGTGTACACTGTAGAAAAAGAATAACTTAGTAAGATACAGTGTTTTTCACAATAGCCCATTACTGAATGTAATATTTTGAAAGTAATAACACAAAGTGCTTCACATAGACAAAAATACTTAATAAACAATATAAAATATCAAGTACAAAATTACCAGACTGTTACAGATATAACTGCAATCAGAGTGCTATCAAGTTATATTCTAAATTCTACAGATAATGGATATTTAATTTACTGGTAGGGCTTAATTTTCATTTTCTAGATTCATTCAAACAATAAGGCATTAAAGTTATGTATTATAAGAAAAATATCAGTATAGGGAAAAAAATATTCAAAAGATTATTAATGACATTAATTATGAGGTCATGAACTTATTTATTGAATTTTTACTTCCTCTGTATAGCTTATGTCTGTAATAACATATTTGTCTTTGGAATTGACATAAAACATATAGATATTAATCTCTTGGTGGTAAGTAGGAAGACTGAAAGATTAAAAGTCGATAAAGCACCAAGAGCATGCAATGTTTCACTCAAGGTTTTAAACAAGGACAAAGATCAGGTATCCAAGCCTCTCTCTTTCATTTTTGATAGATCGACATAAAGTGGGCAGGTGCCTGAAGATTGGAGAGTTGCTTATGCTACTCTTATTTTTAAAAGCAATTATAGGGGTTGCCTTGCAAATTATAGGCCAGTTAATTTCACTTCTTTAGTGGGAAAAATTCCAAAGAGCTTGATAAAAGAAGCTTATAATGTATTTATA